CCCAAATATGAACAGAAAATTGCAGAACAAGAAATCGTCCACTGTCTAGGTTGTATAGTCTAACCCGAGACTACAGATTCATACTGCTGGGATCCTGTGATTCCTGCTGACTTCCTGCCCCAGGGGCAGGGGACTGGACTCGATGATCCTCTGGGGTCCCTTCCAACTCAAATGTTTATGAAATCTATGAAATATGCCATTACTTGGCTTAGCTTTAAAACCCCAATGTCTCACAATAGATTAACTGCTTTTTACCTACCTTTCCTCTTTTAGTGGTACTCCTTCCCTTTTCCTACCCTTTGTATTCAAATCACAGCTTTCCATTTAACAGCTCTGCTCCCAGCCATCCCTTCATAGCATCTGATGAAGTGAGTTATTGCTTACGAAAGCCTGTGTCTCTCTGATTTAGTCTAAGTGCAACACTAATTCCCTGCCTTCTGCCTGAGTAGTGATATCATATAACCTGTAAACCAAGCTACAGGTTTTAGTCCAGAACACAGAGAAAAAAGGTTGTTTGCCCCATCTAAAACAATCACATCCCCTCATCTTTGCAGTTCACAACTGACAAGTAAGTACTCGGCACTACATTAAATTTTAATTTGAAAAGGAAGGGGAGGGACCTACTAAAAACAACCAAACAGAAAATCTCACTGAAACTCAGTGTACAGAACTGAGCTCAGGTATCTACAGTTTGTTGAGAAAAACAGAAGTAATTTACTTTGGTCACCAAATTATTACCTTCCGACTGGTCCTGTCATCCTCATCTTCAGATGGATCTGACTGATGCTTTGGATTGTCCATCTGAAGAAATGCTCTGACATCTGGGCTAGAGACACAGTTAAACCCATTAGGAAACTAATGACCTAAATAAATTTTCACTCTAGCCCCACGAAGACAGTGTAAAAATATCTTGCCATAGGTCTGTATTAAACATTTGGTAATAAGTAACACTCTTCCCCAATAAATCGATTTTACAGGAGCTTATAAGGCAGGTAATTCAATCTCTGAGCAGAACATATATAGTACGTAAAGTTTTCTTTATTAAAATATAGAAGAAACCAAAGAGATTCTGGAGAAGTATTCAGCTGAGATTATTCCAAGGATGATAATTGCAACTACATTTTTTACTTCTTCCAACAATCCTTGCAATTGTTTCTTATATGAGAGACCACTGGAAAGCCAATTTCCTTTCCAACACCTTAAGTGTTAAGGATAACATTTTTAGTTTTCTAAATGTAATAAGAAACTATTATCTTACACATGGAGCATAATATGTATTTGCATTCCAGAAATTAAAATCCTGGGAAAAAAAACATGCTTGCAATTAAAGATTTATTTTTTTTCGCAAAAGTATTGCTGGTCTAATAAAACATATTATCTCTACTAAGAGTCCTGATTGCCATTAATCAATGCTTTCTTCATTCCTGTTGACAGATTCATGTCTTTGTCTGCCATCTGCATTTTTAAATTTGGTATAGACAGGTCTAAATGCAAGGAACAATCTCAAAAGGGCAAAATGGTCCAGGAACATTCCATACTCCTCACATTGGTGTTCAAGTATTACCAAAGTTGCACTAGCATTTTAATTTAGCTCCTCCCTCCTTTAAATGGATTACAGATTAGGTAGAATTATTTTACTGTTTTGTGGACTTGATACACACGCACACAAATCAGAGAGAAGGGGCTATATTAGTCTAAAAATACAAATAATTACTGAATATACTCTCTATTTGACATGAGGTCCTTTAGACAAAACACATTTTAAATAAGAAGAATGCTTTTGTTACCCATTTTATGTCACTCCAATTGTGTTTAGTACTTGAGACCAGTCATGGTATGACCCAGTCCACCTTGAAGACTTTACCCTAAGATACCAACATGCAACTGTCCTTAGGTACTTTAGTCATCTAAACAAGAAGCTTGCTATAACACAACTTGAGTAAGTTAAACACTACCCAAGAGTGAAGTCATGGTAAATAGTATGCTTTTTACTGTGTACTTGGTATTCCATGAATGCTGCAAGATATTGTATTGGTGACCAGAGGATTAATTTAAACCATCACATATGTTCAAATGACACGTGTGAATAACTGCAGTAAGAGCACTCTCTCATTTGCATTAAAGAAGCAGCAGGAGTTATTGCTAAGCATTGTAGAAGGTCCTGTACAATACAGACTAGCTTTATAGTTCACTAGCTTTAGTCCATTATCTCCGACCCAAACATGACAAGAATTCTCCTTTTCCTGCCCCACTCCCCATCTCCATTAGAACAGCAGGAGTTTTGATCCAGATATTTTATACATGGGTTTTCCTTTTGGTTTTGGAACACTGAGGAGAAAGCAACCAGAGGGACTTTTTCTCATTGCTTTCATTGCATATAACTGGTAGCTTGTTTCATGTAGAAGTTAGGCCACTACTGCCATTAAGTTCTGTGTTCCAGGAGTTCCTTAATGAAAACTACAATTATTTTAAAACTATGCTAAGTCTTTAATGCACTCTACATTATGCATTTGGATTTAAATGGTTTTGTTGGAAAATAAGTGTTCTGATAGACAGTTACACACATTATCTTTTCAGTAAAGGCATCTGCCTCCTGAAAAGATTTTTGCAAGATGTCTGTAGTCTACAGGTACCAGAGAGATTTCTCTCTAAAACCAGTAAAACAATTGGGAGTCTGACACTAATTCATATAGGAAATGCCTTATTTGATCAAACCACTTGTCCATCTACCCTAGTATTTATCTCTGACACTGGCCAAAGGAAAATCCAGCTGTCCTCTAAAAGTATCTTTCTAACCCACCTTAGCATTGGTTGGCTTATGCCTGGGGCAGGAGCCTTCATTACTGATATGCAAGTCAAGAATGTACTGTAGACACAAGAAAGGGGACCAATGAAGCAGATCTCATTTTCCATCTTTTTCATTGCTGAGTGATGTTACCACTTCTGAAATGCACCTGTGTCTTGGACAGGTCAAATCTGCCACCAAGAACGCAGTTAAAACACCCATTTAAACTGCTCTGTATTGTCATGAATAAGTACTCACACCCACACCCTTCTAAAACAGGAGACTGGAAGACGTTATTTTTTAATCATGAAATGGCACCAGATACCAAAAATCTGGAATCACACCCATTGTGATTCTGCTAGGGTGGGGGGAGCCCCAGATTGGTGATCCAGAGCTCCCCTTGCACCTAAACCTTTAAAGGTTTGCCAGGCAGCTTGGCATCAGGGAACCAGTTCCCTGGAGGCTGCCCCCTGCCTGGTCCTACTAATAAGTTGCTCTTCAAAAGGCATGTTCAAAGAGCATGCATGTAACTGGATTTCACAGCATTCCTTTCAAGGGGCAGCACACTGCCTGGGCAACCCCTCTATCCAAGACATTGCCACCCCATCCCTGCCTGAACAACTGTGTCCCACATGGCTTCAAATGTCCTGGCTCAAGGACTGCTCTGCATGCCTTCCAAGGTGCAGGGTATGGTGCTGTTCTGGACCTGGGGGTTATCCCCAGGTTCAGGACAATTGTCCAGGCAGGGGACAGGCCCTGGGTCAAAACAGGTGCCCCCTGTGCCCTAAAAGCCACACTGTGCAGCTCAATTACATGCATACCCTTCGAACATGATGAAGCAAGAGGGGGAGTGTCTCAGATTCAGGAGCAGCTCCCCATCTTAGGTTCCTGCCCTCCCAACATGTTCAAAGGGTGTGCACAGAGCTGGGCTGCATGCAGCTGCCAGGAGCCCTAGATTGGGGAGTGGCTCCCTGATCTCCAACTCCTGTCCTAGCATGTTCATATCACACATTAAAATCAATACAAACCAGCCACAAAGATGTTCCACATTAAACACAGTACATTATTTTACTTTAATTCCACTAAATGTGGAATATTTTTTCTAGCTGGCTTGCCATTTTACTGCATCATAAGTACAACATCAGCCAAGGGACTTTGCCAGAGCAGGGTCACAACATATGGCTGCCTAGTAACTTTTGCAGATGGGCCTATGAACTTCACATCATAAATCTACTGGATACAATGAAATAATGGACTAAATATAGACATTGGATTTATGGCACATAAGAACTTGGCTGCCATCTGATAACCCCAGGTAACCTCTCTACATTTTACCAGCTACATTCTATCACCAGGTTAACATTCCCCCATTTCCCCCTGCCCACCTAGCGGTCTCTCACCTATCATCTCCCATGGCCTTCGATCCTCACTGCCATGCATTTGCATTTTCACAGACTTGCATTTTGCATATTGGCTTCTATTCCATCCAAGAGAACACAAAACAAAAGCAGACTCTCCCTATGCCTGAAGAAGGGTGTTTGAGCCTGAAATCTTGCAAATAACATTTTTTTTCCAACTATTTAGTTGGTCTAATAAAAAATATCACATTTACCCAAAGAACCTTGTTTGCCTATGTCCTTAGTCCAACATAGCTACAACCAACACTTCCATTGCCTAATGCTTGCTCTAATGTTTAAGATTAGGGGTAGGGTTTTTCCTTTGGGAACCCCATCCAGAAGCCTCGTTTTGTGTCTGTACTCTTTTAGTCAACCATGCATTATAGTTAGGTTTTAGTAACAGGGCACCTGACTGGACTAGAGCCCTATGCAATTGAACCTCTCTAAGGTATAAAGGTGGAGTACAGGACAAGATACAGAAACTTTATCAGACACAGAAATTTTACGCAGTACCCAATATTATAATATCTTCCTCCTACATTAGTAAGGTTAATGCATTGACTTACTTAGTTCATAATATATTTAGCAATTAGGCAAAACTGTCTGAAAATAGCTTTTTAGATCATCTGCAATGAGGCAACTGCCATAATTTTCCCTTTTAGCCGTTAGTTTTAAATACACTTTATGCTATAATGTCTTGTTGTGATCATACATCATAATTTGGCTGCTGGATTTTTGAAAGTTACAGTAAATTTTGCATGCTATAATAATCTTAGATTTAAAATACTTCAAAGTACTGACAGATACAAGATATTTTGAACAAATGTGTTTAAATGCCCTTCAGAACTGAGCTGCAAAGTCAAAGTCTTGATCCTTCTTCTAAATATATTATTTATTTCTTTTACCCGGGCAGTAGACAGGAATTTTGTTCTATAAATACAGAAGCCTCCTAGTAAGCAAAGCTCTTCAATGCATGTGCATCACACATCCATCATTAAAATAATCAGCTTATACTGGGGTTGGATGCGCTAAGTGCTAGATGAAAGTACCTAAAAAACAAATTAAAATCTAATTTATATGCTATTAAATCTTTTTGTGTTTTTCAAATAAGATTCAAGGAAGAAAGGTTTGGAGATAAATTGAAGCACCTCACAGTTGAGCACTGGAAGAACCAGGAGTAGGAGACTGCACTGCCACAAATGGTTTCTTGCTTAAGTCAATTAGCAAAAAGAGATTAGGTTCCAAAAGTTAGTTATTTGAAAGGTATTATTTACTTTCACAGTCAAGGACAAATGTTATGATCACAATTCCAATATTTTTTCCTTTACTGGAAAATTATTCCATTACAAGGCTTTTGTTTTGTTTAAAATGTTTTCTACTTGTCATTAGGAAGATGACACAAAATACTTTTGAAAAGAGGAAGTTCATATTAAAGAGTCCTTCGGACAAAGCTATTCATTAAATACTTCCAGTAACTAGTACAAGTTGTAGCAATGCTTCCTGCTGAGGAAGTTCACTTCTTGCTAAAAGCAGAACTTATTTCACAAGCTTTAGAGATTAACTTAATTTGCCACAATAAAATGCATTATAGTCCAATGTACTCAATATCTAGGAACCTGTAGGATAGAGGTATTATTTCAGGACATTTTAATGAAAAGATAGCACAGAAGCCTGTTGACATTTATTTTAGTTTACCTTAAATTGATTAGGAATCAAATGGGTACAAGTTTGTGTGTAAAAAGGGTTTCAGAAAGTAAGCAATACATTTTTTGCTTTCTGAAATCACTCTTCAAAAAAGACAATTCTCACAGTAAATAATAATTATTTCTACACATTAAAAAGCACAATACTTTTTATATTTAAGCTACATAGTTTTTAGCAATTTATTTTTAAAATATATACCATATCAATAAAAAGCTCTTACAAAACATAAGCAGACTACTTACTGGTTGCATAGCTCTGGCTGTCTAACTAAATTCTGAATGAATTCATTTAGTCCTGCTCTTCTCTGTTTAATAAAGTCTGGGGGGAAAAGTGGACAGAGAGTTGTTAAAGACATTAAAAACTTGCCATGAAATAACTGAAATTTAGATTTCTTATATTTTCTTTAATAGGAAAACATCTGAATAGAACAGGTCTTACACATGAGGATTTGGTGGTAAAAGACATCCAAGCCAAAAGTTCTTTTCTTTGAAACCATTTCAATGCTTTCATCTCTGAAAAAAACTTACTAAACCAGACTGATTTTGAACTACACCCACACATGCTTCAGTGGGCTATACCAGGGGTTAGCAACCCGCCCAGTACATGAGCCAGTGTGGCATGAGAAGGCATTTTGCTTGGCACATTTGTCTAGGGGTAGACAGTGGGGAAAGGGCTGGGGCTCAGCAGGCCCCTTGTGGTTCAAGGATCAGCAGGCCCCTTGTGGTTCCTCCGTTGTACATTCTGAGGCATATGTGTACCAGGTGCTGGCAATGAGCCAGGCCAGGGCTCCACAAACCCTGCTGCAGCTGCTTGCAGCCTCCCAGCCACCTGCTATAAGCAGTCCAGGCTCTGCTGTAGGTGGCAGGGGCCTGCCCAGAGCCTGGGCTGGCTGCGGCAGGCAACTGGGAGGCTGCAAACAGCTGCACCAGGGTTCATAGAGCCCCAGCCCAGCTTGCTGCTGAGACATGTTCCTGGGGCAGACACTGCAGGAGCCAAGAGAGGCAGCTGCTTGCTGCCTCCTGGCTACCTGCCACAGCCAGCCTCGGCTCTGGGCAGGCCCCTGCCACCTGCCATGGAGCCCAGGCTGCTCACAGCAAGTGGCAGGGAGACTGCAAGCAGCTGCCCTGGAGTCTGTGGAGCTCTGACCCAGCTCACTGTCTGCACTGCATGCACGTGCCCCTCTAGGCAGAAGGCAGGGAAGGGGCCCAGGCTGCACTGCCACAAGTATCGGGCTTTTCATGGCTCCCCTGCCATCGGCTCCTGGCACACCAACATCTTCCAAGTAGAGGCTGTGGGTGTTTTTGGCACTTGGCCCAAAACTGTTGCTGACTCCTGAGCTATACTGAGCAACCCTTGCTCATACCTGAAGATGAGCAAGTCCCATGCTCTGACTGATGTTGAAGGCAAAACTATTTCAGTGATGAAGATCAAGTCCTTAAAAAGAGCCGTCCCACAGACACCGATTGGTGAGCACTTACAAGACAGTGTTGCCTAACATGGGTCGAAAAATCCATAGTCCAACCTAATAACTAATGCACTGATAAGTAACTATTATATTTGAATTAATTTTTCCTTTATTTGATATATGTGTCTTAAAAAAATTAACTTAATCCAAACTCAGTGTTTTAGCTTTTTTTCCAGTAGTGATAAAAGGCACCACTATAAACTTCATCCCTTATTAGATCCATTTCAAATTAATACAAGAGCTAAAACTGAATGGCTTTTAAAGCCTTTTTCAGTTGTAATAAAGAGGAACCTCCTTCTTTGGGAAAGATTAACTTGCCCACTGTCAGTTTAAAAAACAAGAAAGTATTTTACCTATGTTACAAATATTAACAATTTTGCAATTAAAAAAAAAGTTTCCACATATTAGAAAAAGGGAAAATTATTCCAGTGATACAGCTCTCAAATTCATGTTATACTATGAAATTGTTCTGAATTACTAGACAACAAGAAGGAAGACAAAACCCTTGTCAATAATAGTATTTCACTATTCCAGCAAGACTAATATTGTTGAAGTATGATAGTCTAGAATTTAAACAATTTAGAGGGAAAACCTTACTATTTTCATTAGTTTAACACATGAATTATCTGAGGAAAGCTGTAATTAATGATGTGAGCTGGACCCCCCCCATAATCTGTGCTGTTGAAAATAGGGAGATGTCTTAGTTTCTGGTTAAGTTTCTGGTTATACCTTCTGAGTAGATCTTCTTTCCCCAACTTTTTCTTTATGCAAAATCACTCGTATCACTCAAAAACATTGGTTTTTTTTTTTTAATACTGCTTTTAATATCTACAGTTTTATTTCTCTCCAGTAATTTTCAGTTTAGATCAGGGATGCTCAACCCCTGGGCCAGATCTAGCCCCAACGCTCCCCATGGATCTATAGGGAGCCCCCCAGACTGTAGCTCTACATACTAAATCAGGCATGTAGGGTAGCACAGGGCTCGAAACCAGCGTGTGGAGCCAGGCAGAGGCAGTGCAAAATCCCAGAGCCAGATCCCAGCATGCAGAGGCAATGAGGGGTCTGACCTGGCCTATGGATCAGCCTCACACAAATGCAAAGCCAGAAGGTTGAGCACCACTGATTTAGACAATGACAACCGGAAACTGAACAGCTTTCTTCTAATTCATTTCCAAATTCCTGTGCACTAACAATACTACTTATGTGTGTTGCAGATTTCATTTTATATGTTTTTAAGAAGTTATAATGAAATATCTTGGTTTTGGTTTTCTGTAAGTATGTATTTATCCTGAACTTGGAAGCAGCTACAAGTTTGATTTGACCAAGTCCTTTTAAATAACTGAAACACCTAAAATAATGTTTTCATTAAATCTACCTACTCTATTCTTCTCCACAAAGTTAGATGCTTTCAAAAGTAGGTTTACTGAAATGCAGCACCCTGAAGAACTTGGGCATATACTTTGTACATAAAATAAGCTTTAGCCATTTTTTTTCCCACCTAACAATACTCTCCTCCTTTCAGTCTCAAACAAAATAATTTGGGCTTGATATCTTCTTAACACTGCATGCATGACTCCAGGGGCAGAGCTAGAGGGGCTGCAGTAGCACAAGTCGAGCCCTATTTTGGCTGTGGGTGGAATGCATGGTGAGCTCTCAGGGCTCACTGGCCTGTCAGAGGAGCTCCCACAAATGCTGGGAGCTCTACGAGCTCACTGGCTGGTCCGCCCAGAGTCCCTGCTTTCAAGTAGCTAAAGCTTGCTGCTTCTCACTCTATCCCTCCTTTTCTTTCCCCTGCTGCTGAATTCAGGGTCTGAGGGAAAAATCAACCAGTGGCAGGCTCCAGAGCCACTTGAAAGCACAGACTCTGGGAAGATTCATAGAGTTCACAGTACAAGCAGAGATTCAACCAGAAGCTTTGCAGACATCCTGGTGAGCTAGGAGACCACTGACAACTAGGATCACAGTGATGGGGCTGTGGCCAGACTGCCATGTAGCGAGGTATGGGTTGTGTGGTTCATGGGGAATGAACTCTTTCACTGACCACATATCACACAGCCAAAGAGAGAGTGGCTGCACCCCCATCACCAGAATCCTGAATCAGCCCACGCATGACTGATATCACCCACCATATACTCAGGATAACAGAATAAAAAATGGCATGGAAAGTAAGGTTTACACAGAGGTGTGGATTTGTATTAGTTGTTGAGGCCAGTAACAAGGGATAGTTTTGCTTTCTGTATACACAAACTATAGTGCACGGCGTACTATTACATTTGGGACTTTTCAAAGCTTTGAAAACCCCAACTTCATAATTACAAACTTAGTAATGAAAAAAGTAATCCTGTTGTTTTCAGTTTATGACAAAATTATGGGGACTCTTTAGGTATTCATTCACAACAGGAGAATAAATGAATTCTGTCAGCAAAACTGCTGTACACCATACAGAGATCTGTTTCTATGGTTACAGCATGCCACAGATCATTATACAATATATAGGAGATTCTGGCAAGAAGACAGAGGCATTTCAGCAATATTACCCTAACTAGCAGCCAGTAGTGAAATGCAGAATGAAAGCATGCTTGGGTCACAACAAAGCATTGCATTGCACCCTAGCTTTAGCATCTTTTGTGACAGTGTCTCCATATTAAAGATGAGGTCAGCCCAGCTGCAACCTGTTCCCTTAAATACAAAATAAAATGCAACTTACATAGTTTGAAGCAAGAGAGTTACCAACATACTCCTTTAACAAGAGAAGTCGGCTGGACTTCAGTGCATGCACTATCTGACTAGTTGCATTCCTCTAAGGCAGCTTTGTATTCTGTTCAAGATAATTATCACATCCCAAAATAAATAAAATGAATGATTATCATGTTGCAACATACCTGGATCAAAATTATCGCCAAATATTCGTTTAGCTGGAATTTTAAGGTTCATAGTGGGAAATTGCTTCTTTAGCTATTTAAAAACAAACAAACAAACATTACCCAGATAGGCACTTTGGTTTTGCCTGGACAGCCAAATATCTAGTGTTATTACTTGTATCAAACATATTTTAGCTCTCTAGTTTTTGGAAAGTATGGGCTCTAGATTACTAGCATCACTTTTTTTGCTCCTCAAAACAATTTTTGCTCAGATAAGTGAATAGGGGATTGTAAAAGGAAAAAGGCTGTTCTTCATTTAAGTTACCCAAGCCCTATTTAACCATGCAAGCAGGACCTAACATTTACCCACTTTTCATATTATTGCCATCATCATCATTCTGTTTTTTTTTTACCCAGATTGCATATTTCTTTTTACTCAGCAGATAGACCAGTAGTTCTCAACAGTTTTAGATTCAAGGCACCCCCCTCCATGACCTTTCTGTATGTAGCAGCCCAGCAGTTGAGGACCGCTACTTTAGGTATTAACAAGCTTTGCAGTTCTAGTAAGGAAAGCCCACCAGCGACCAACAGCATTTTAAGCGCCATGTCAAGTAGGTGTACTTGAAAAAAAATTTTTAACTCAAGTGTTCTAGAATTATTTTAAATTCAACCTGTCCTAATTTCCATTAGTATTCAGCTGCACCCATCTGACTGACTATCTGTAAGTAGAATCATCTACCATGAACTAGAATTCAAAAGAGCTTCTGCAGTTCCCTACCAAACAATACTCAAATGACCCCACAATTTTCCTCAGCCAGACTGCAATGCCATGCTTACTTTCAGACTTTTCTGTCATTTCTTTCTTTTGTTGAAGAGCATGTAAACCTAGAGTTACATCTGCTGGGTTTCACTAAAGCAAACCAGTCTCCTGGCATCCATAGGCAATGCGTAGGGTGGGGCCTGGGGGGCACGTGCCCCTCCCCACCACCACCCCAAGAGCTCTGGTATCAGTGCACTTGGCGACTGGCCACTGGGGGACCCCTGCCACAGTAGTGCACTGCTGGTGACCCCCCAGACTCAGGAGGCACTCGTCACCCATGCTGGCATCTCTTAAAATCTGGAGAAGTAAGATGCTAGGCATGAAGGCTGCAATTCGGATATTATTTCAGAGTTAACAAAGAACAAACCAACTCATGAGAGAGAGAGAGAGAGAGAGAGAGAGAGAGAGAGAGA